CCCCCCCCCCCCCAAAAAAAAACTACCTCTGTTATTTAATTTTTGGTAAAATATTATGATTAGTAAATCAAAATAGTTTGATTTTTACTGAAAAATACAAATTTTTTAGTTTCAAAATTTTAAGTCAAAAATTGATAGTTTATATATTATAATTAACCTCATTATATGCTATACTTCTATATAATTACAAGTAAGCTTAAAATTTAGAAATATTTTCAAAAAGTTTTTAAGATTAGTGAATAATTTTTTTTTCTACTTAAAATATACATAAATATCAACCAAACTACATAAAAAAAATAAGCTTAAAAAATTTTATATATTAAAATTGCTTGATTCTATATTCAAAATTTTTTGTATGAAAAAAAATGTATTTGAGATAAATGCATGATTTTAATTCAATACTTAAAGGTAAAAGATTGAATATTAAAATATATACAATGAAGGAAAATTAGTTTTAAGAAAAATATGGAGAACAATCTTAATTGCAATAAAAATAATTTTTTTTTTTAAGGTTTTTGATGATAATTTAATTACTAGTTTAGAATATCATAACAATGTATTAATATACAGTAAAAAAAAAATCTTCTCCAGAAAAAATAGTCGTTTTTTTGCAGTACCACAAATAGCAACAATCAAATTTATCCTTACCTGCCACATAAGATGATTATGCATTGGAGGCAATTTAGGAGAAGAAATTGGCTCACAATCATATGTTCTCATAATACGTTCAGCCAATAAAAAATTTCTCAACAGACTAGCAACTAACAAATCTTGTCGAAATAAAGTTTGAAATGTATCTATAAAATATTGTACTTAAACTTAGATAATTATATATTTATGATAGTTCATTAATATTTAATAATTGTTTAAAAAAATAAAAATTTATTTATTTTTATAAATAATTAAAGTTAATTTTAATAAAAATTAAGGGTATACACTTACCTTTAGGTAAAATGTTCCAAGCTATTGTATCAGTAATAGCAGTGAAAACCCAATTTAATTCTCCTAACATTGTACGTCTATCATTAAGTGTACCTGGAATTCTAATACAAAAATTTAAAACAAACAATTAATTAAAACAAGAAGAATAGAAGTAACTCTTCAATAATGGTTAAGAAAATTAATATTTATATTATATAATTTATTTATATATATTTATTACTATAATTGTATTTATATTATTATTTATATATTCACACCATTAATTATAATTAGGATCTAATAGTTAAATATATTATTACAATTATTATGAAAATGTGACTTTTAGAAACTAAAGTGATCAAGTAATAACCCTAATATAATAAATTTAATGAAAAATAGATTTTTTAATTAAATATAGTTTTACAAGAAGAATTCTTCAAAACCTATTTTATATGTAATATGAAATTCTTAGGTGAATAGTATTCAAGTCAATTTATACAAATTTGCACTAATTGATGGTGAGTTCAGAATAACGTAACAAAGATTATAATTCTGGACCCTAATTATAATCAATGATGTAACTAGAATCTTTTGTGAAATTTAACATTATGAATTGATCATGGTTACCATAAATTTAAACTGTTCAAATCCCCTAAATTTGCTATAATTTTCCAATCAATTAAAAAAAAAAAATCAATACTTGACTTAAGGAGCAAAGGCATACATAATTTATGTGGAGGATACTTGATTTTATTTACTTTTTAATTTTAAAATAACCAATTTGTTAACCGTTTTCTTACAAAATATATTGATTGGTCAATAAAAATTTTAGGACAAGTACTTATTGTACAAATTGGGTGTAGCTTGTCTATATAAGCTGTACCCATCCTCATTGCATACCCACAATATTTGATTATATGTAATAAAATTTATAACAGAAAAATTTTTCCCCTAACTTCTCTTTTATGTTATCTAAATATACATTAGATTTAATAAAATTTAAAAATTCCAGGAAAAATAATAAAATCTCTCACATTTCCATAATTTTCTTGAATATTTTAAAATTTCCAAATGTTTTATAGTTTTAGACTTGTGGCAACTATATTGATGAAGCTAATTAAGTTCTCGCACTCAGAAATGTTTGATGTACCAATAATAATTAAGTTTAAATTATAAATTTATTTCAACAGGTATGTAACTCAACATAAGTACAATAAAATGTATTAAATACATGTATAAATAAATAAATTTGATTCAGTGTTGCAACTACACAAACTAAATAGGTCTTAAATTATAATTAATATTGATACATTATAATATCATACTAAACTATAAGATTTAAATTGAGTGTATTAATATTTTCTTACTTGTCTACTAATTCAAGATATAATTTTGAACTATCTTTTGACATGTTTTGCATAACAAACCTAAACAATTTTATTAATCAATCAACATTAGTAATACTTACAATTTTATAAATTACAATACATATTAATAACTTTATAATAATCACATTTAATTTGCAACTAATAAACAGCAAAATTAAAGATACTGGTGCATCAATTGGATATATCCTCTCTTTTTGAAAAATTACTTTTAAAAAATGTCATATGATAATGTAACTGGTTTATATCATAGGTAGAAAAACATAATTTTAACAATTTACTGTGAAATTATAGCAAAGAACTCATTTTGTTTGCCACATTATAAGAAAATTTTATATCTTCAGAAATGTTTTAGAAGGGTGACTTATTTAATTACTACACTATAGTTACATTTTAAGATAATATTTGAAGGAAAAATATTTAATTAATTGTCTTAGAACTCATAATTTTTAAATAAAAATGCAAAAAAACAATACTAAAATATAAAAAAAAAATATTCAACTGAAAAACCAACACTTTAATAAAACTATAATAATATGAAATATAAAAAATATAGTCTCACCAACGAGCTGCCATTTTAATAGGTGTAGTTAAGCATGATGTAAATAAGTCAGCAGGTAAGTCTGGATGCATAGGAAGAGTCTGATCAATTTGACAAGCACCAAGTTGAATGCAGTTTTTAAAAGATGAGCCTTCAGGATGTAAAAACATAGGATTTTGAGACGCATCATGCTGTAAAAATAATATTTTAATTAACTAATTAATACAAGTTTGATATATATATATATTACATAAAAATTCCTACATATTAAGTTCATTTTTAAAATTAGAGTAATTATAATATTATAATATTTGTAATAAATATTAATTGGATATTATATCCAATTATCTAATCAGATATCTAAAAATATCTAAATTTGGATTAAGAAAAAGTAATTTTTTTTTTTTTTTATTGTTTTATCAGCCCATTAAAGGCTATAGCAGCCTCCCACAAAGGAGGAAGTTTCTTAACCATTTATACTCTGGCACGGGTAGTTAGTCTGTCACTGGAGAAAGGGATGCCGACTCCAATTACCAAACTGATCTTTCATTCGGCAAATAAAGCCGTCCGAGACCAATTTTCGAACCCGAAGCAGTGTGCGTCAAACACTGATGCGTTACCTACTTGACCACACCGTCCCTCATGATTTCTTTATCATCTAAATTTTGATTAAGAAAAAAAGTGAAATATATTTATTAATTTATAAATAATGACATACAATTTCAAAATATAAAAAATATTTCTTTAAAAACAGAAGATTTTAAGCTTGTTTTTATTTATATTTAACTCATTTAATGATACCTTAGATAAGAAAATCCAGTGAATGAATAACTTTTACCCTAAATATTATTATATTACAAATTTTGTATTAATCACAAAGTTACTACATGAGAAAAAGAGTTGATTTGAACTAATTAAAGGAAATTAAAAATATACAAATTTCATTATTTTACACCAATTAAACTCATATTTCGATATAATAACAATTTAAACCTTACAATAACATTTGGAAATTACAAATATATTCTTACATATATATACTTATTATATAAAAATTAGTATAAACTATAATTAAATAATTTTATTAAAATTATTAATTTTTAATAATTTTAATAAAATTTTATTAATGAATTATTAAATTATTGATATTTACCAAAATTTCTTTTTCATGCTGTTCAGCAAATTGATTAAATAATTTAACAATCATTCCAGCATTTGAACAATCATAAACATATATTGATGGGCATCCCATCCAAGATTGTAAATCATAAATAGACAATGGTATATATTGAGTATATGCCTAAATTATACAGATAAAACTAAAATATACACATCATTGAATTTTATAATAATAATTAAATAATTAATTTATAAAAATAATTTATTGACTAAGAGATAATTATATAATTAAATTTTACTCTATTGAAAACCCAAATTTCACCATTTGATGTTGGTTTAGGGACACCATGTCCATTGTAATGAAAAAGAACTCTTTCTTCCTTTGCATTTCGCCTTAATGAAACACAAAGTTTTTTTACTTCTTCTATTGTTGGATCCAATGATTGTTTATAACGTGCTCTAGGTTGCCATCTCTCATATTGTTTTTGTAAATTAGCTCCAATCATTTCAAGAGCTTTTTGAGGTATCATCATTAAAGGATCTAATAATAGAAATAAACTTGAATTTTCAATAAAAAAAAAAAAAGAGTTAAAAATGTATATACCTATCCAGCACTCCAGTCGAGCACATGGTTGTATTTTGAAAACATCAGGAGGGTCTACACCAACATTCAAACATAGCACAAGTGCTACACTCACAGTTTTCATCTTTAACACAAATATTACTAAAGATATCTTATTATTGATAGAACATAAAATATAAATATTACCCGTTCTTTGAGTCGCCATGAGCTGACTATAGTTTGTACACTTTTTATTTCTTCGATATGTCTTTTTTTTGTGAAACATAATGGTAACTGCCAGTCGGCTGACTCTAAACTATCGGCACTGCCAGATGACTTAGTCAACGTTTCTTCCATTCATACAGGCGTACAAGATTTGGAGACTATTGTTTGGATCTTTTAAAAAAATACTACTTATTAACTAATTATAAACAAAAATTTAAATATTTTACTACCCTAACTGCAACAACGCCCGACCTCGTGTTTATAATCATTTAAAAAAAATTTTATCTCATTAATTTAAAAAAAGGTGATAACCTCTATTTGATAATAACATTTTGACGTTACCGATTTTGGTTTTCGTGGTAAAAATGTTTTTACAGTAAGAAAAAGTGCACATGTGTTTAATTCCTTTCAAGTTAAAATACATTAACTTAATCATCATATTATTACAATTGTAAATAACAATTAACTATTAATATATGTAGTTTATAATTTGTGCTGTAAGATTTTAACTGAAAAACTATCTAGTTTTATTTTATTATTGTAATTTTTTTTTTTTTGAGAATTTCAAATTGTCAATTTGCTAGTGAGTATTAGATGTTGATATTTCAATTAAATTTACATTAATAGTAGAATAAGTTTTAGAAATGAACAGAAGACCTCAGTCCTACAACTACAAACCACATTCAACCTCTTCAAAACCAACAGGTCCTAGTTGTGTTATATGTTTTAAACCACAATCAATATATTCAATTGGTGCTTGCGATCATCCAGTGTGCTATGAATGTTCAACTACAATGAGAGTTTTGTGTGATCAAAAAGAGTGTCCAATATGTAGACGAATTATGACCAAGGTGTCAATGTAGTTTGTCTTATTGAAATGTTTTTATTTATACTATCAAAAATTAATATTTTAGCTTTGATGTTTAACTTAAAAGCTATTGGTTTTTTTGTATACATATGCAAGATTACTTCAGTTTTATTTGAAAATTCATCAAAAAACTACAAAATGTATCTAATTGAAGCTATGAGCGCTATAATTTTGAAAAAATTCCCTCTAATTCCAATTACAAAGAATATGACCCCAAAAAAATTAGTTTTCACTTTTAAAACTTTTAAAACAAGGTTCAAAACTAAATAAAATTAAGGCTTGTTTAATGTAATATATGATTTAAAAAAAAAAATGTTCATGAGGCTTTTCATATATGAGTAAACGTTCTCATAATCAAAAACTCTTGTAAATTTGATATGAAAGATATTCAAAAAGTAAATTTCCCTGTGTTGGGGAAAAAAATAAAAAACTATTTTTGGGCTATAAAAATTAATTTATTTAATTTTTTGACTATTTTTCTACATAGTGCCATAAACATCAATACATTTTTGGTATCTATTAATAAGCTGTAACTTTTCTTAAAAAAAACATGCCTTGTTTTGGTGACATGATAGCCAAGCACCTTCTCAATCTGTTCATTTAACCCTTAAACAGTCACGTGGGGGTCTAGCATACCACCACATAAATAAAAACGGATGTATTATTTTGCATAAAAGGTGTACATAGATATAAATTTAGAAGATGGTTTTTATAGTAATATTGAATAGATTTTCATAAATAAATACCTTCGAAAAAAAAATGTATGACTTAAAATATCCATCAAAGTTGAAATGGGTCATATTGACCCCACGAGACTGAACGTTATAATTTTTTTTTGGACTTGTATTTTTTTCAAAATATTGTTTTATTGTAAATGCAATGTTATAATCGATATAATATTGTGGAATTGGGATTATGTGGATCTGCTACCGTTTGCAATTAAGTTTTAAAAATAAATAATCTATTGAGAATTTCCACTACTCGATGATACGGAACAAATACGAACTAAACATGTAATAAATACGTCCCGTCGCAATGTGGACACATTGATTATTGGTGCCTCATTTACAATTACCACTATTCACATTTACCCCTCCTGACCCTACTCGTATTATAATAATTAAATTGTATTGTAATATTAATAATAAAAAAATTCAATTCAGAAAAATGATTATGTAAATGTAAAGACACATAAAACTAGTAAATATAAGCCATGTTTGAGCTCAAAGAAATACAAGAAAAATTAATAAAAATACATTTTGTAATAGTAAAAGCTTTTATTTACCGTCTTAAAAATAAGATTTTGCAGTTAAAATAATTTTTTTACAAACCAAAATTGTTTAATGAAATTTTGAAAATTAAGTTTTTTTTTTTTTTTCGTAATGCACATAATTTTGTCATTTATTTATTTTTTAATTTTAATTTTTTAATTGTTATCCATATTTATATAGCATATGCTAACAAATAATGTCTTTGAATTTAAAAAAATGAACTTTTTTATACATATTTTATACTTTTTTAGAAATGGGGTCAAATAGACCCCCACGCAACTATGAACGTTAAAAATAGGTACGCACCTGCTTAAGGGTTAAAGAGAAATATTAGCCACCCAAGCTTTCTTTCAACTTTGGTAAAATATAAAAGTCACTTGGTGTAGTGTAGTGAGTGGTCTAAAACTTCCCATTTGAATTTCTGATATAAAGTTTGGTTTTTTGATAGAATAAGACCGAGCGTTTTCATGAAAAAGCACAACTTTTTTTGACAACTTCCCAGAATGTTTTCTTTTAATGGAATTTCTGAGTTTATTTAAGACTTCACAATATCAATCCATATTAATCAATAAAATTGAGCATCAAAATACCACAGCACTTTCTCTTTGTTTCTTCTAAATCATGCTTTGATACTTCATTTTGGGATTTTTGTGGTAAACCCACGTTTCATCTCTTGCTCAATGCGTGATTAAAGATTATTGTCTTCATTTTGAAGCATTTCAATAAAATTTTGAGCGATGTGAAATTGTTGTTGTTTATGGTTAACGGAAAGCAATTGTGAGGTCCATCTCACACACACTTCACCTTGAACAAACTTCTCCGACAACATTGTATAGATTGGAATTCGATAAATTTGGCATTTAGCAGACATTATTTCTAAAATATCATCATTAGTCCATCATCTGTCCTCCTAAATAATTTTTTCAATCGCTTTAATGGAGTTTTCCATAATTATTAATTTAATATTATAAACCATTATGCTTTTTGAGCTAACAATAGTCTACCAATGTCAATATTGCATTATAATATCCATTACGAAAATCTTTGTAAATAATCTGTTAATACTCCATTGTTTTAGTAAAAAATTATTATGAATGTTTTATATTTAATTATTTTTGAATTTAATTCAATTAGATACAACCAATTTTTAAATTTTAATAAGAAAATAATTAGTTGATACTTTATCTTAAATATGCTTTATCTATTTGTCGTTTTAATATTGAGAAATAATTAAAATCATCAACTGGAATTCTGTTTTAATTTGTTTGCTTACATAAGTGCTTCTAATTCAAAAAAGGGAAGATATTAAACATTTAATTTTAAATTTTTATGAGTTTTGACTACTTCTGTGTACTTTTGTGAAAAGAAAATTCAAAGTAAAGTAAACTATTATTTTTATTTGCATTATTAAATAACATTTTTAAAGTAACTTTTTATCAAAATTAAGTTTTCCTTATTTATGTTAAAAATAAATAAATACTAAAATAATAAATTAAAAATGTTCAGGTAATTTTTACCAAGAAAATTGAATTATTCCAAGATCTTGAAAATCGTCAATATCCTCGCTACAATAAAAAATTTGGCATTGCATTTGATGATCATTCTATTGAAAATTCATTTGAACAACTATTACGTTGTTACTGTAAAAAATGTTATGATCGTCCTAATTTTGAAGTCTTTGAGCAATTGACAACACATATGGAGAGGAATCATCGTTTATATGCTTGTCGTCTTTGTGTTAAACACTTAAAGGTAATAAATATTAAATTAAACATAGCTTAGAATGCTATAATGACAAAAATTCTTAAACTATTTAATTTGACTTTTATTTATAATGTTATTAATTCATCTAATTTGATTAATAAATTTAATATCTCTTATTGGTAATAGATGTTGGTTATTTAATTTAAGGTATAGACAAAAGCTAAATAAAAATTTGGGATTTAATAATATTTCTTTTATAATTTTCATTGATAGTTTTTCCATTTAAACCAGAATCTTATCATACAACTAGTTTTGTAAATTTAGATTAAAACATTTTATACACAAATTTCTGATCTTGAGTATTTATTATTTCATGATATTATTGACAGTTTTTACTTTTGATAATATTTTATTCAGATATTCCCAAGTCAGAGACGTTGGTATAATTATGATGAGTTAGCAAGGCATGAAGAATGTGGAGATCCTGATAATACTTCTCATCGGGGTCATCCAGAATGTCACTTTTGTAATGTTCGTTATTTAGATAAAGATGAACTTTATAAACATTTGAGAAAAGAACATTTTTATTGTCATTTTTGTGATGCTGATGGTATCCAAGATTATTATATGTAAGTAAATTCATTTTTTGATTTAAACTAGATATCAAAAATGAATCAATCCATAATTTTTTTAAGTCATCTGGATTGACCAGAATTGGACAATCTATATTATCAGCATCATATGATTCCATCCAAATTTATTATCTGATCATACAAATATCACACATTTTTTATTAATCATATTAGAGTTAAATTAATTCATTCTATTTTAAATAAAAAATAAATTCATATTTTCAATCTGCATATCAGAATCATAGTTAATATATTCAAATCAGAATATATTAACTATTGTAAAATAAATTGAATTTTCATTCCAAATTGCACATTTTTAATCTAGATTACAGGTTGATACATTTTTTTTCTTAACTAGTTTTGGCTAATTACTAAAACTAATTATTTCATTGATTATCAAAATTTAAGTTCTAAAATATAAATTAGATTACATTTTAATCCAACAATTTGCACTAATTAGTACAATTAAAAATGGAGAGTAGTTAATAACATTAAGAATTAATGATTTTAATTTTAAAAAAATAAATTTTTAGGGTTTAAATAGAAATTATAGTTTTATCTATTATTATATACTATTAATAATTTCTAGATATTTATATTAGAAAAAATGAATATGTAAAAATAAAATATGAAATATTTTCCAAAGAAAAATATAATTATATTTTTTAAATAATTAACGAAATTATTGAATACCAACAACCCAAAAATTAAATTATTTGAGTTATGTTATACTTATTCTAAGGGTATGATATTAATTAAATTTAATACTTCTATTTTTATTCAGGACATATGCTTGGCTGAGAAAACATTATTATGATAAGCATTTTCTATGTGAAGAGGGCAATTGTGTAAATGAACAATTCACATCAGTTTTTCGTACAGCCATAGATTTACAAGGTATTACAATACTATTATTGGTCTAATATACATGAATAAGTTTATTCTAGTACACTAAATAATATGAAATAATTATATGTTGATTAAGTTTATATATATATATATATATATATTATCTAAAAAAAACTAAAAAATATACAATATATGTTTAACTTAAATAACCATAAAAATTACTAAAAAATCATATAGGTCTTTCAGGTACAATTTTATCATCATCAGCGTTAAACACATACTGGCATTTCAACTAAAAAAACTCCCTTATACACTGCTAGTGACCTTATCACTTAGTTGATTGTCACATTTTACCATTTTACACAAGTTTAATAATAAATTTTTGCAGTGGCCAAAATTAAATTATTAAATTACTCTTATTAAACCCATTAAATTATTCTTATTTAAAAACATTTCTATTTAAGCATTAAAAATCAAGAAGTTAATAAATATTCTGTGGCTGAACATTTATTGACACATAATCAGTCCATTTAATACTATAAAACTAATTAAAAAAGCAAATATTTTCAAAGTGCTTAATAAGGGAGACAAAAGAATTTTTTAAGAATAAGAATAATTTAATTAATAATTCAATAATAAGAATAATTCAATTAATAGGGAGGATTTTAATTAATATTTTAATTTTTGAATAATATTTACCATAAGTGTTATATAGTTTTTATTTATTATTTGATTATTATTCAAATTGACATATTTAAATATATTTTAGCTCATAAAGCTCAAGCTCATAGTAAAGAACTTGGAAAACACGGTTCTAAAGAAGCCCGTACTCTAAAAATTGAATTCAATTTAAGACCGAGACATTTACCTGTTGTTGAAGCTGGACGACCAAATCTCAATCAGTATCCACCTTTGTCAGATTTTCCTATGTTAGTTTGTATTAAATTAATTTAAGTTTACTTATATAATATATAAATGTTATTTATATATTACTAGGAACCACAATCCTCCACCTGAACGTGTTATAAATGTTCGAAATACATCAGACTTTCCATCTCTCAATGGCCAAACTACTACTGTTTTACCTTGCGCTAGAACAAGAAAACAAAATCAACATGTTAACACTCGAGATCTTAATTCATTTCCCGCTCTTGGACAAGAATCTGCTCTTCCTCCAAAACCTGTTCAATCTGCCAATAATATACGCATGGCAGCAATATTAAAAAAACCTCCTGAATTGCCTAAACAAGAAAAAAACAAAGAAAATTCTGGGCCATCAATTAGGTTACCTAATCAAGCTAAAGATTTCCCATCTTTAGATGGAAATCAAAGTCAAGCAAAAGTTAAAGAAGTAAACAATTCAAATAGTTGGGTTTCTAAAGCAAAAATTACTAATGAAGAACAAGAAGCCCTGAAAAAATCTAAGAAAGAAGCTCCTATAAAGAAAAAAATTGCTGAAGCTCCTAAAGTACCTGGGCCATCTGATTTTCCAAATTTAAACAAAAAATTAGAACCTACCAAGAGTAATTTAGCAAAGTTAGGAAATAAAAAAAAAACAGAGGTCATTAAAAAATCCAATAATACAGTAGATAATACACTAAATACACAAAAGAAAGTTATTCAGACTGATAGTTTCTCTCAAAAAGAAAATTTGTCCCAAAAAAATGATAAAGTAAAATCAAAAGATGCTCATTCAAATGGTGATATTCAAAGTAAAATAGCAAAAAATGAAGTTAATCCTGGACGTTCAAATAAAATAGATACAAAAAAAGAATTGAACAAAAAATCTGTGAAAGAAAACCAATCCTCACCTGTTAAACCAGATAAGTTAGCTAATGTAGCTTCTAATCAAAAAGAGAAGAAAAAGCGAAAAAAAAATGACAATAAACATTTAACTCCCGAATATGAAAATTCTAATGTAGAAGTTTCCTCAACACCTAAGGTACCACCAGGTTTTGAAAATGCTCAACAAATTAGAGTACCACCTGGTTTAAGTAGTAGATCACAAATTAAAGCACCTCCCGGTCTAACTTTAAATAAATCCTATGACTATATTCTTCCACCTAATTCAACTATACGAAATAAAGTCTTAATAAATAACTTAGTTGCAGCACTTATACCTCGGGATGATCAATTTGATACATTTGAAAAATTCAAAGAAATGTCTACTTTATTTAGAAAAAATGTCATTACTGCTTATGATTTTTATTCATATTGTGTAGAAGCAATTTGCCGTATCAATTTTGAAACTGTTTTTTTGGAACTTGTTTTGTTATTGCCAGATATACAAAAACAACAGGTATTCTATTTTTAATTTATTTATTTAATTAATTTTAATCTAATCAATTATTTACTTAAAGCAAATATTAATTTTATAATCATAGCTTAATTGTTGAATTCATATTGTAATTTTTATTTTATTTCAGGAATTACTATTTATTTACAATAGAAACGGTGGTGAAAAATTAAATGTTGAACTATGTAAAGTATGCCGACAAGTACTGAAACCTTCAGATTTAGATCACCATTTATCTTTGCATAATATTTAAAATTAATATACTTATTGTTGGTTAACTTCAAACACAAATTTATTATTACACTTAATTTTTTTAGTTGTATCTGTAATTTTTTAGATAAGTATAAATTAAAAAAATTAACGTGTTAATAGAAATTCTATTTTTTATAATTAAAACTGTGTTAATTTATTACAGTAAAATGTTAAATCAAGCTCAATTGTGTTACATATATTTTCTTTTGTTTAGAAAATCAGTAAAAACTTTGAATATTATCATTTATGTTATAAATGTATACTTTTATAAAAATTAGTTGTACTTCGCTTGTAAACTTTGTAAAATAATATCATATTGAATATTCCCATTTCTAAGAAAAACTTTAATTACTATTTTAGTCAACTAGACAATAATTTTATTTAAAAAAAATGTATTTGTAAATTAATTTATAAAAATAAAAATTCTTTTAACTGGTTGAAATATACATACATTTTTTCCAAATTTCTCATTATTTTAAAATGATTCTTGTACATAATCATTTTTTATAAATAAGGTAAAATATTATAGTTCAAATACTTTAAAGCTAGATACATAACATCTAATTCAGTACAATAACTTACAATAATATTTTAACATGACGTAATTTAGTCTTGTCGTCTCTTATTTCATAAACTTATTAACAATAAAACAAAAAAAAAGTATAGTAACAATTATAATATTTTCATAGTCTAATGGAACAGTTTATTAATTAAAAACAAAGATAATAGAACAACACATATCACTGACCAAACAAGTATACCAAGAGGCCAATAATTTGACCTGAAAGGTGAACAGTAATCATTCTTTATCCCAGCCACTTGTTGGGGAATTTCAGCTCGAGCAGCTATGACCAACAATGCTGGAATCACATATTGTATACCAGTACCAGCATAAATAGCAACTATTGATACCTGAATTAAGATAAAAAAAAAATAAATATAATGTTCTAATAATATAAGTTTAAGATTTTTTTATAAAATGTTTTATTACAATTAAATTTATTCATCATATAATTAACAACATACTTATATAATTTTAACCATTATTTATTACAATTATTAATTGTGATTTATAAACTTAATGAATAATATTTGAAGGGTCAGTGGTATAACATCCTATGTAACAATTTGAAAATTTTAAAAACAAAATATTTATAATAATTTGTTTTATATATTATTTGAAAACAGTGTAGTACTTTTTTTCTACTTTTTACTTAATCAAAATGATTTTATATATTATTATTATATATATAAGGTTATTAGATAACTTTACAGCACATTATTCCACAAAAAAATGAAATACAAAAAACCCTAGCGACACTTTATTTATAAAATACTTTTTTTCAAATAATTTAATAATATAAATAAAAAATTGTTGATGATTTAATTACTCAAGAATATATTTGTGAATCACTAAGTGACCATGTTAAAGAAAACTTGCACCTCTTTTAGATCTACTCTTTATTTATTATTATATATGAATTATATCAAATTAAATTATAATTCTACTAAGTACAAATTCAATATTTTTATAGATTACAAATTTATTTTCAATAATAAGGACAATTATTATTATTAATAATATTACTTTAAATCTCAATTATTTATGTTACTATCCATAATTAATTCCTTTTAATTTTAATCATTAAATTTTAAATCTGCATTGGACAAAAATTTCATTAAGTCTTATAGCATCCTATTTTAAACAAATTTTTCTGTACAACCCAAAACTTATAAAAAAAATGCACTTACTAAATCTTCAAGATCGGCAACAAAAGCTGCCAACAGGACGGGAGTAATTAATGAAATCAATGGCAATATAATTTTTCTCCAAACCCAGTGAGCATCATCAGGAAGAAGCATTACCTATTATATGTAAATTTAAAAATGAAATATTATTTTAAACTATAACAAACTATAATAATTACTTGAAGGTTATTCCGTAGTGTAATTGCTATAATTGGAAAACTAATGCTAATTGTAAGAACTGGGAAGAGTATTAAAAATGAATCAATTGCTTTGTATAATAATCCTGTACTTTGTGTAGGTGTAAAATTTATAGTGTACAATTCGTTAACATTATTAAATGCATATGATCCTGTTATACATAGACCCATGTACAAACTATAAATAAACAAAAAATCTGCTGCAATTTTTATTAAAATTTTATTTTTATTTTTAACTGGAGCAATCACTGATGGTATTGAATGGTGACACATAAAAGCATAAATAGATGCACCAATAAGTTGGGGTACTGCTGGGAAAAAAACTGCTGGAGGATTTCCTTTATCTTCAATTGGTGTGATGATACGTATTGTAGCAAGAGACAACATAGTAAACATAGCTAAAAATGATAAAAAAAATTGTTTTATACAATAATAATTTTAAAAAAAAATGTTTTTTTTGACTAACCAGTAATACGCATAACAAATGAAATTACTTGTAAATATTTAGTTTTTTGCACATTAAAAAATGTAAATGGACCAAATGATATAATGTAGAGACCCTTTTAAATAACAAAACAATTGTATATTTATATATAACACATATAAAACATTTTATTAAATTAATTTAATTGAAAAAACTTACCAAGTAAGCCAAGTAAACCTCATGTCTAGTAAAAGAGTAATTTTCCCAGCATAAACTTGACTCATTTGTATTATTATTACTGTTATTACTTAAAAAATAATAAGATTAGAAATAATTTTTAACATAACTATACAACTTACCAGGTAAAATCTACTAATGAACGTCCAATAGCTTTATAATATATGGACATGTCACCAAATAAATAACCACTTAAAGAAATGAAAAATAGTACTTTGGCAAAAGGTGGTAGTAAAACATTAACCATTTCTCCCTGAAATTAGATTTAATTTTTTTTTTTTGTTAATTATTTTAACATTAACATAGAAACATATACTACCATTTCAATTCTATTATCCAGTGATAATAATTCAACTGATTCAGGAGGAAAATCCATAAGATTACCTAAAAAGGAAAAAAAATCAAGGGCGTCTATAGAAAAATATTTTAGTAAGGGCAACATTTTTTTTTTCTTAATGATCATTGATCATTAATACCCAAGTTTTTTAAAAATATTTAATAAATAATAACTACATTAATGTGAGGTCTTTGTAAAAAAAAACCTTTAAATAAATAATTGATAGAATTTTTTAAATTAGACAAATTTATAATGTTCATACTAGTTGATGCCAAAGCTGGGTTATCAAATATTGGCACTTCATCTTCACTGTTAAAACTATCTGTACTAGCTGTTGAACCTCTATCATAGTTAACTGTAGTAATATGTGTTAACATGTCTTTACACTGAAATAAAAATTTAATTTAAATAATTTACAACATTATACAGTCTATTAAATAATTATTTTTTTTTTACCGCTTTTAACTGTCTCGTCACATTTTTCATCATCTGCAGTTTACGTAATTGTACTATTGCATTTGTTATAGTTATTGATTCAATGATAAAGGTAAAAGTAACATAGCTGTATAAAATAAAATAAAAATATTTAGAAAATAAGGATAAATTGAATTAATTGCAAACAATTTTGTCAAATAAATTTTACAAATTTTCTTAAACATAGAGAAAGTCTAATAAAAGCATACAAGGCCAAACATAATTTTACACAAGATTATGACAATTTTTCTATCATTTGTCAAACATTCTCTTAAATACAGGGTTTAAAATTTCCAAAACATTTTTTTTTACATCTCATTCGTCAGTTTAATTTTAATTTATATACAAAATAATAAAAATAATGAGCTTCGAGATATATTTTAAATTAGCTACACTAACAATTGTCATAATTTTGTAAATTATGAAATTCTATTTTTACTTACATTAATGATTATATTTTTATCATTTTAAATATCTAAAATATCTAATACTGTAATTACAGAAAATAGGCTATTAAAAAAAAAATGTTTAGTTAAAATTGAATACATTTTTTATCTATTAAAATTTTTAAATTCTCAAAAAACCAATTGACTAAAAATTTTATATTAATTAAAAAAAACTCAAAATGATCTTTTAATAGTAAATGCAACAATAACTTCAAATTTTATATATTAATATTTATTAATTTATGTATTATTTAAATCAGTGGTCAAAAAATCAAAATTAGGTGTTTGTATGAGAATTATCTTATATTTATTCATACATTAGTTAAAAATAAAAATAATTTAATATAATTTCATAATAGAGTAAATTTTCATTGGAAAATGAATTATTCAGGAATAGCTTATAGGTGAAAACCTTTCAAAAAATTGTGACCATAAACTATTAACTGATTTTCAACACCAAAATAACAATTTATTCAACTAACCTGATAAATGCCAAAACAGCTATTATTATGCTACTTAATAACCATCCTGTTTTCTGTACAACTGTAGGAAGCGTTAATGATCCTGGACCAATAATCAAATTAAAAACAAAGATTACACCAACCTGAATTGTAAAAATTACAATTAATAAAAGTATAAAAAAAATAATCATTGAGCAATATAAAAACATACAAAAGATGAATAATTAGAACTCATATTGTGATTTTTCTTCTAACTAAAACACTCTGATGAAAAAATGTTTAACACATCATTTTTATTCATCATTTACATGACAAACAACAAATTTAAATACAAAAATAGATTAAAATTAGATAAGTTTTAAGTACAATAATAAATGGTTTAACATAAATTTAGGAACCTACAAGGCTGATAAATGATACATGAACATATGACCAAGCAAAATAATGTATTTAGTTTTGTGAATTTGAAACGGTCAAGAGGCCGTGATAGCAACTACGTATTCCTCCCTACTTGTAAAATGCGTCATTAAAAAATTATCTTGTATCATAAAAAATAGATAACAGAATAAGGTGACAATAGACCGAACTCACATATCTTTTATATCTGTATACCTTTAACATGAATAGATTTGATAAATTAGTTTCAATTAGATAGCATCAGTGGTGGTTCTTGGGATAATATTTGGAGAGGTGTGAAGTAAAGTTTGTCGATTAAATTAGCTTAATGAAGAAAAAATATATTTTGAAAATAATAATCATTTATGACTACGATGAATATTTAGGAGGGTAACATACCCTCTACTTATAAAATCGACCCGGGATAGCATTTCAAGTTAGTTATATACTTTAAATTATTGGGTCTGCAAAAAGACGGACTGTTCGACACAGACTTCAAAATTCCTAAATAATCCAAAAAGTTCCAGAAAATTATAATATACATAATATGGTTTGGTGGGTTTAAATTAATTATCAATTAATTTACCAATTAATAATCATTTATTGTCTAGACCTCCAAACCTTTTTTGGTTATACTCATTATTAAATTATTTAATGTTCTAAAATTGACTAAATTTTCTGCAATTTAAAAAAATTACCATATTGTTCATAATTCAATCATTACTTTAAGTATTGAGTGAACAAAAAAGTTAGTTACGATTTTTTTTTTTTTACTATTTACTTGTAGAAAACAATAAATAAATAAAAATATGTCTTTAAAACTTAACAATTTATGTTGCTTGTCCTATAATATAAAATAAATTGTCCATCTTAAATGAATGTTAAGACAATTATTAAAGAACCTTACTTGATCGATGTTTAATGACAATAAGCAAAGACACAATAGGGGAGGTGAAAAATTTTAAATATTAGGCTAATTTGTGCAAAATATAATGGCATTGGCGAGGATGTAAGACAGGATTAAGTGCGATTGAATCAAGTGGTGTTTTGTACATATAAGGCTAAAAGGTAAGTTCTGTAAGACTGTAGTGAAACCAACTATGTTTTATGATTTAGAATGTTTGGCGGTTACCGAAAAAATAGAACAGAATGTGTGTAGCAGAGATGAGAATACTTTGATAGATAAGTTTAATGACTAGAGAAGATATGATATGGATGAATATTTAAGAGGAAGCATAGAGGAGCGTCGATCGTAAATAAGATGAGAAAAATAGGCTTAGATAGTAAAGTAATAAGAAAAGAAAAATTGAAAGCTGTAAGAACAGTTAAAACAGTGGAAAATAGAAAAAGAGGTAGTTAGATGCAATTGGATGTGATATGAGGACTGCTATTGCTAGATGAAATGAGCAATCAAATCAAGTGGCAGTTTAGGATGCAGATAGCCAACCTCAAATTGCTGTGATAAAGGCAAGAAAGGAGACTTGATCAAGGATTATTAAAAAAATAATACATTTTCAAAATAGTATTACAAAAATAATTTATTTAAAATACAATAAAAACAAATGCAATTGTTTAAGTCAAGAGTAAACATGTTGAGTTTGATCTAAAAGTAGTGAATAAAATACAAAACATAGTGAACATTGCAAATAACATTATTAGTATATTTAAAAAATTTAATGCTAAATCTAATTTTCAAAAATTAACTAAGATAAATAGTAAAGCAAATATAATTTATTTGTAAACATATTAATAGTAATAGAACATTTAAAACAAAACTAATTAAATTGTATAAAAAAACATTATGCAAATAATTCTAAACATATAATTATACACAAATTACAAAATTTATTAAACAAAAACAAATTATTAGACATTTTATAAAATAGTATAAAAATTTAAATAAATATACCGATCTTTGGACTGATTAAATTTATACATATTATAATGGATAGGCTAATTGGTAACAATTTAAGTAATTATAAGCTCTCAGTAGTATACTTATAAGAAAACATGAGGATTCAATTAAGTACCATTAAGCCAATACTCCATGAACTCTTATACGATAAAGACAAGTGTATTCATCATGGCCATGATTTGATTCAATTCTTAATTCTACAATAGAAAAAGGATCTTTTTTTGGCTAAAAAAAAAAACATATTAGACTTATTTTAAAATAAAAATATAAAGGCATGCTTACTAAGGCTTTAAAATACTGTAAACTAGGCCCTTCTACACGAAACTGATTTCTTCCTAATAAAGTTCCATTAGAGTCTAATTCATTTTGTAACCCCTATCAATAAAAAAAAAAAAATTAGTAATTTCAAACACAATGTTTAAAAACTATATAAATACACATTTTTTTTTTTATACAAATTAAGGAAATATAAAATTTACTACTTGACATAGATGAAGGCCTCAATTTATAACCATCTAAGAATTAATTTAACTAAATAATCAACATTATAACTAAATAGTACTCCAAGGTTCAATTGATCCTCCAATTAAAAGTGTAAAATATTATACTTATGTAACTACAGGTTAATTGATTTAATATTTAGGCAAATACACATACCATGTGGACAAAAAATCAAGTTACATAAATGAGAAGCGTGTAATAAATATAACATATATAAATAAAAATCAAATACAGAATGGAACAAATCTACCTGACAATTCATATAACTTCTGATACAATTAACTTTTTGTTATAATTTTTTTTAAATAACTTATGAATTTTTAATCAACGTGATAATAATATAAATATATATCTATATTTATTTAAAATTTTTTTAAAAAATTAATTTTGATTTTTTCAAAATTCTACAATAGCCCATTTTAACACTTTTTTTGAAAAATAATTAATGGGTCAATAACAATTTAGAACAAGTACTTATTGAATTACAAGTATTTTAATACATAGAATGGGTATTTAGCATGGATAGGTACATTTAATTAATAAAAAAAAAACTCAGCACAGTAGGGTCACGGCATAGTGGGGATGTGACATAGTTGGGTCAAGTATAATGATATCTGACAGTGATTAAAATCACTATCATAAAAAACGCTTCTATGCAAATCTGTAGATAATGTTTAATTTTAAAAAATTCATGGATCACTTCAAAAGCTACATAATCTCCTATTTCTTTATTTATATCCTGATTACAAGTTTTATGATTTATAAGTGTAATATATAAATATATAAAGGGAAATGGTGTTATTTAAAAATAAAGTATGTTGAATGAAAGAGGGATATAAATATTATTTCTCATAAAAAAATTGTATTGATCCATACACTTTTCAATAAGTTATAGCATTATAAAGTTAAAAATGTAAAATATAAAATCGAGAATTTTCACACAAAAATAGCATTCGGAAACTATTTTCACAGTGAAGACAAAATAAAGTCTGAAATTTTTTCTTTTCCATAATAAAGTATATTACATAAACTTTAATTTTAAGTATATAAAAAAGTGTCAGTATTTCCGGAACACTTTAAAAAGTTAAGTTGAAAAAGTTGTCATTTTTAATCCCCCTGTGGGCAGGTAAAGGGTCGAATTTATAAAAAAAAATATATCAAATGATAGTTAAGACATTATAAATCTATAAAAAAAATTATATTATTATTATTAAATTATATTGATATAATCATTATTGAAAAAGTTATGGCAGTTTTAAGAATAATTTTTCAAAAATTTCAAAAATTAGCGATTTTTAAATTTGTAATTTTTTTGGTTATAGTAATAAATTAGAATAGTAATTCAAAAGTTGTTATTGTCTAGTTATTCTCTTAATTAGATCATTATCTAATAAATAAGCTAGTTAATTATGTGTGTTGCTGTTTAAAAAATTTAAGTTTACATCTTTATAGGGTTTAAGGAATGAACATAAAAAATTTTTTTTGATAAATAGAGAAAAATATTGAACTAAAAAAAACCAATCAGAATATTAGTATTATTTAAATTTTAGCTTCAATGCGAAGCTGAGAAGGTATTAATTTTATTATGAGTGTTTTTTTTCAATTTTTGAGGGTAATGTCTTCAACTAGATACAATTTGTGATCTTTTGATGTATCATTGAAAGAAATTGGTTCGGTATGAGCTGAAAAAAAGTGGTAACAGACACAAAAAAAAGAATTTAAAAAAATTACTTGTAATCCAATCAGTACTTATACTTTTGCTCCCATTAATTATTTTGTAAGAAACGTGCAAAAATTTACTATATTGATATTTTAAAAAAATTAATTAATTAATTAAATTAATTATTTTTTTTTTTTTAATTAATTAATCATTATTGAAAAAGTTATGGCAGTTTTAAGTAAAATTTTTTAAAAATTTATAAATTTTAAATTTATTACTTTTAATTTATCACTATGTTTATGTTAAATATAATCATATCATATTATCAAATTGATAAAAGATGATCAAATTACCAACATAATCTCAAAAAATAAAAATAATTTTGTTTTATTTATATTGATTTTAATATACTAACCCACACACTAAAATCTTTTGGTGCTGATTTGATACTACCATCTTCTGAAAGTGATTTGGGTAAATGTTCTATTGTAAAACCATTAATAAAAATTGTATTGGATAATTTTAATACTAAAAATCCTTTTGCACCAACAAATGCCCAACATTGTCCAGGATAAACACCAGGCTATAACAATAAAACTTAAATTATATAAGAAATTTTATAATTGAAATTACAATTATTCATTTTGATTTAGCTTTATGAAATTAAGGCTATTTCGTTTTCAAATAAAGTATAATAGTATTTCTTTCCATAGACGAGCAATCAGAGTACCAATTTTATTTTATACATTTAATAACATAATAATAATTTTTTATATGATATATATATATATATAATAATTAATATGATTAACTTCATAAAACAATGGCCAACAAAATATATTTCATAATCTCTCAACTAAAAATTTACTGAGAAAATTAACATTATGTACAATTATGTACTGTTTCTATCGAATAAATAAGCTTAATTGCTTTAACTTAGTAAAAACTAAAATATATCTAACTAAAACATTAATACAATTTTATTAATATACCTGAATTGCTAATCTAGGACCATTTGATATATACCATAATGGTATTCCAAACATTGTTAAAGCTGCTGTTGATGATTTAGTTACTGTACAGCGAGTACCAAGAACAACAGCTCCTAATTATTTCATTTGTAAATATATATCTTAATTACATTTAATTTACATATTCATCATAAATATTTTTAAAAATAAATACCAGCAGATTCAAGTGCAAAATCAGCTCTACCAGTTTTATCAGCATCATAAATATTTAAAGTTGATTTCATAGTCATATTAACATATTTCTCAATGTAATTAGTAATTGAAAACCAATTTTCTCTAGTACATGTTGAATTAAGTGAAGACTCAATATTGACTGGTGAAGGCACTAAATAAAATTAAACATTAATGACGTTTCAAAATATTATTTAATTAATCAGAAAGTTTAAATTAAAATTACTAGATGCAGCTTTGTGTTCTTCAAAATTATTTATAACATCTGCAACAATTTTTTGTAAATCAGACATTTTAATTTCTAAATTCTTTATATCAAGTTTATTTTGTTCTGACGTTTTGTCATACATATCTTTTAAAATATTTTTTTGCCGATTAAGTTGATCCTATAATTTAAAAATATAATATTTACTAATTTTTTTAAATGTAATATTAATAATATTATTTTTATTATTAATATAATAATATTATAATACATTAATCCATTTTAAATTTTCTGAATTCATTTCATTTATTTGATTTTTAATAGTTTCTTGAAATTCTTGATCATAAATTCTAATTAAATCAATTTTAGTGATATTAAGTTGGTTAATAATTAAACGTTGGAATTCTTCAGTGGCTAATATTTGTCTTGCCAAAATATTGTAGTCAAATGTTAAGTAATCATGATTTTGTTTTACAGAATTAAACTTAGTTGCCGAATCAACAACAGTGTTTATATTATTAAAAATCTAAAAATAATAAGAACATATATTTTATAAAATAAATTATTAAATTAATTAAAACAAAATATTTTATGAAACAATATTACATTAAAAAATGTTTGCCCAAAAATCTTTATTGCTACCATTGATGAAGCTAAACCAACAGTAAATAATTCAAGAACAAAATACATTGTAGATGATAATATAAGACAAATTGATTTTACTAAATTAAATATTGTTAAAAATGGAGATAATATGAATTCTGTCATCGATTTATCCCAAATATTTACATCCATAGGTGAATAGAGGTGAAGTACTCCAGCTAAAAGTAAAAATAATATTTATAATACAATTTATTTATGACATATACTTTAATTTAAAATTTAATAAATAGTGTTTTATACCAATCAATCCCAATATTAATGATGAAAGGATTATAGGCTTTAAAAAATTGTTAGGTTTGTTGATTTCAAAGCAGTGACCAAATAACTTTCTTAAATTTGTAATAATAATCAGATCATAATGTACCATGCTAATTGTAGCCAGGTGAACCCAATTGGTCACTTTACGTATGCTCATAAGTGTTAAATTTGAACTATGCTCTAAAATAAATCACAAAATTTAAAACATTGGTCAATTGCATTCCCTACACTTAATTTTTAAACTACAGTTGTTAAATTTTGGTTAAAATGCTTAAATACAAATTATTTTTACAAGCAAATATTTAATCATACTGAGTTTTTTAATAAAAGAACAATATTAAATCTTTTACCAATATAACAATATAATTATGGCATCTTTTGGACATAAACCTATATGTATACATTAGTAAATTAAAAACAAATACCCAATTCTTACTTATTTAGTTATCAAAATAAGAATAAAAGATAAAAAATTTAACAATCAGCCCTATTAAAAAAAAATATATATATACATTTTAATGTAAGATTATACATAATCAAAAAGGCTTGAAACCGTTTATTGTTATAACTATTAAAAACTTTTTAATTATTTAAAACGTGTAACACAATAATATTGCTACCATTTTAACTATCATAATGTAAAAACTAAAAAAATAATTTTGACTAATCAAGCCCTAATAAAATAGTACATAAAAAATTTAGATCCTACCTCATTTATATCTTAAAATATAAAATCTCTAAAAAAACATAGATTCAAAAGTGATTAATTTTTAATTAAGCAAATTAATATTAAAATAAAAATAAAAAATAAATTTAGTGCCCTTTAAGTTTGAAAAGTTACACCTGAAAACATTAAAAAGAAAAATTGTTTAGTTATTAGTAAACCCAACCTTATATAGTTAAGCTATTTAAACCAATTTTTTTTTTAAAGTTTTTTAAAAAGGCAAGGAATTTATGGTATAAACATGAAATATTATACCACAACTATGTTACTACTATAATGTAGAAGTAACATTATCAATTAAATTTTCAGCATTAATATTTATATTATTAAATAATTAATACATTTCATAGAATATAATTTTCTATTATAAAAACATCTAAATTTTACACAAAAATTTAAAGAAATCTTACCCATTCCGGACTTAATTAATGTAGACACAGTTGTTAAAATTGAAATCAATGATTGAATGAAGGTGTTAAAAGTTTTTGAGATCAGACTCATAAATTTCAATTTAGTACTGTGAACAGTTGTTGATATTTCTCTATGATTTGAAAAACTTGAATAATTTTTATTTACTGTGTGTCTTGAGATATTTATAGAAAAAAGATTTCTTTCTATAATAATATTTAATTTTAGTATTACAAATTAAATTTTAATAATTTTAAATGAATTTACTAATGTGACTAGATGAATTAAAATAATCAGTCTGGTCTCCTTGCAAATCAGTTTTTATAGTAGACTTATCATATTTGTTGATAGGCCTTCTGGACATATTAGGAATGAAAGGTATGCCTGGAGATATTTCATATTTATAGTATTTAGAACCAGGAGAATAAGTATTATCCGTCTTAGGAAGTATTCTATAAAAAAAAGTTATGCATATACTTATCAAGTATTATAAGTTATAACATGAAAATCTAAATATCTATTAAAAAATTGCTTTAATCAGTAAATAAAAATATGAATATTATTTCCCATAGATGTATTACATTTTTATTATCTAGAAAACTTATGGGTGAAAAAACAATAGTTTTAAATATAGTATAAATTATAAATATTTACTCTTGCCATCCATCAAAATTCTTATAGAACTCAGCTATTTCTTGAGGACTTCTATTAGGGCCTTTAGATGGCCTTATATTGAATTTAAGATCTTCAGTCATGTAGTATGTAGCTTTAACATGTGAAATAACGACTGTATACTCTAAATTAAATTAAATTAAAATAGTTCATAAGTTATATTAATAAAATACTATAATATTAATTCGTAAATAAGATTGTTTATAATATTGCAAAACAACGATTCACTCAGTTTTAAATAAGTAATTAAAAATTGATATCTTTAAGGAAGTTATTTTGATAAACTAATGAATGTAAACAATGTTTTGTGAACATAACATTATATTTAACCCTGCAGGGGATTCCTTAAATCTAAGTTTACTATGTTACGTACCTGACCACTAAAAATTTAGATAAAAATCCATTTGAAAAATAAATTAGAAATAAATTATTCTCTCTATTTCATTAAGATTAATACATTATTTTAATATTTCAAGTATAACAAATAAAAAAAATTAAATAAACTAGATTTTAAATAAATTTAACACAAAATTTGATTTCATAAATTTCAGTTAGATAAAGAAAAAAAGGGTCACGGGTCCGTATACACTTGTACTTCGAACGTCAAAATCCATTGTATATTTATACTTTAATTTTAATTTCCATCACAATCGTAGAAAATAAAAACTAATACAATAATTATTAAATTATAATGTATCATAACTATCACAATTTGACTCAATCAGAATTGTGGCTTACATAATATATTTTATAATTAATATTGTTTATGAACTCGATCTTAAAATTAAATACTCTTTTTGAGAATGAAGTTGGTAAGGAATTTTCTTTTCTGAATTTATTAATGAAAAACATGATATTTCTTTTATAATAGATTAGTCAACAATACGTATTTTATGTACTAATCTATTAATTACTTCAGACATTTTTTTTTAATTTTGCAATTTAAGGTACATTGATGTAACTATTTTAGGAACTTCTGGAATCTTTAAAACTTGGAAAGTGGTGCGGGCGACTTAACACAATACATTTGTAAACAATAATAAACTAACCTATTGTCAATGCCAAGTACACAAATGCAAATAGATCATTAAATATCTGTTCAAAAGAAGTGATCAACACAACAAATATGTAAAATGTTTTAAATCGACAAAAACTAAAAATATCGAATTTTTAATTTCAAAACTCATAAAATTTTTAGTTTTGTTTCTAAAAAAAATCGGTTGAGAAATTTTATTGATTCTATTATTTTGTATGAAAACCCTAATTCAGGGTATGTCGTGGTAATTTTTAAATTAATTGTAATAGATTTGAGTTGTTAAGAAATAAACTGTAAGCGGCTTTTTGAAAATATAGATAATTAAAAGTTTTTCCTATTCTTGTAAAATATGAAATGACGCTTCTAGTTTTTGATGAATGCTACTAAAGTTTTATATGATCGGAATTAAAATGCATCGAAATATAATAGTTCTATTGATTTTGTGTATTGTATAACTATGAGTTGGAGACTTAAGACTGACGTTTTTTAAAAATTGAGATTAAAATTTTCTAAAGATATTGAGGACGTGTTACTATTTAAATTACCAAATAAGTATTTGGCAGGATATTTTTGTAGGTTTAAGAAAATATATATAAATACTCTTAAAACCATATTTATAAAGTATTTATAAATTTATAAAAACTAAGAAAATGAGAATAGCATTAGATAATTAAAAAAATTATTAAATCTAACATAAAAATGTAAATAATGTGAACAAAAAAGTTGTTAACTAAATTGTTGTTAAAATTAGTATATTATTTTACGTTTTAATGATTAAATTGTCCGACTAAAATTAAGTCACTGTAATTTTACGATAACGTATATTATAATGAATTGGTACTGTTATATTAGTTTAGAAGTAAGAGAGTAAAAAGCAGGGCTATATTTAGGAATTTTATAACCTCAATGACCTTTTTATTTTGTCTAGCAAAATATATTTTTTTAATTTTTTATACAAGGCTTTTTTATTTTTTTTGAATGATCAAAAATTGTTTCAGTGATTATGTAACACTTTTCGCAGGGTTTCATTATTATACAAAATTCATTATAACGATTTTTTTTTCAGTTAAATTTTATATATTTAATTTCTCCTTTGTGAAATCCAATTAAAATTATTTTCTTTTATCAATATAAATAAAAATTATCTATTAGGAGATGAAAGCTAAATATGGCGTTTAGATACTGCGCGTGCTCTACACACATAATTGGATCACTATTTCAAGCAACAAGTGAATAAACAGTGATCGCACTAGAACTTTTGTTGTTGGTAGGTTAATATACTCTAAAAATCATAATTAAATATAAATCCGCACGAACTTGAATAGTCTATAATCCTCGTAAGTAGTTCATATAATAATTGCTTTGGATGAGCCCTACCTTAGTCCACTACTAGATATAGATTAGTCGAATGTTACATTAAACGATATATTTACTGAAAAAAACGAGACATTTTCTTAAAGTTTCACTCAATGAGCAGATTAATAATTTAAAGTGAGATTTAGATTTTGAGCTACGATACGAAGCTGAGAAGGTATTAATTTTATTATGATGTGTTTTTTTTTATTTTTCCTTTTGTGTCTGTGAATCTCAGTTCTCGCTGGACCGATTTTGATGAACAATAAGTCAAAAAATCACAAATCGTATCTAGTCGAAGACATTACCCTCAAAAATTGAAAAAATTCCCTCGTTCCCCGTAAACGGGGGAAATCATCCAAAAAATTACAAATTTAAAAATCGCTAATTTTCAACATTTTTTCAATTTTTTTTACTTAAAACTGTCAAAAATTTTTAAAATGACCAAATGATTATAACTTTTTTTTTTATAGATACCTTAGGTATTTACCTATCATTTGATATATTTTTACGAATATTTGACCTCTTATCAGTCCACAGGAAGGGTATCAAAATGGCAACTTTTTCACAAAAAATTAACTTTTTTAATTTAACTTTTGAAAATAAGCCGGAAAGACTGACACTTTTATATATACCTTAAATTAAAGCTTATGTAATGTATTTTATTTTTTTATAAATAATTTTCATATACCTCTTTAATCTGACACACTTTTTTTTGAAATCGGATCATACCCCTTTATACAATGGGGGTCAAAACTTTAAACATGCGTATTGAAAATAAAACATTTTCAATTTAATTTTTGAAAGTGTCCTAGAAATACTGACACTTTTATATACAGAGTGGCCCACCACTCACTGACAACTTAAATAACTTTTGATCCAGTTAATATTTTTAGTTGATTTTTTTTTTAAATAATAGTTATACGTTAGGTCTATAGCTATATCTCAATAATTAATTTTTTTACATTTTATTAAAAATATTATTTATTTTTAAATTTTAAATAAAATGTAAAAAAAAAATATCTAAGATAGCTATTTTGTAGAGTAGAATTTAAGAAAAATTTTAGTAAAAAAATATCTTATTAATATTCAGTAGTAAATATTCTGTAGCGTTTTGAAGTTTGTGAAAATTTGAATTTTCATGTACTATTTTACTGTATTAAACATTGAAATACGTATTGAGAAAAGGACAGAAGAAAACGCTATCTTTTCAATATACTTTTGAATGAGAGTGATAAGTAATAATTGCCTTATCTAATTTCTTATCATGGTATTAATGCCAAGTTTGTAATGTATACACACTATCATCATATGTATACACAGTAATCATGAAAAGATAGCGTTTTCTTCTGTCCTTTTCTCAATACGTATTTCAATGTTTATAACCGTAAAATAGTACATGAAAATTCAAATTTTTACAAACTTCAAAACGCTACAGAATATTTACTACTGAATATTAATAAGATATTTTTTTACTAAAATTTTTCTTAAATTCTACTCTACAAAATAGCTATCTTAGATTTTTTTTTTACATTTTATTTAAAATTTAAAGATAATTAATATTTTTAATAAAATGTAAAAAAATTAATTATTGAGATATTGCTATAGACCTAACGTCTAACTAATGTTTAAAAAAAAATCAGCTAAAAATATTAACTGGATCAAAAGTTATTTAAATTGTCAGTGAGTGGTGGGCCACTCTGTATATATTAAATTAAAACTTATGTAATGTACTTTAATTTGAAAAAAAAAATTGACCTCTGGATTTGTCTTCGTGGTGAAAATGACTACCGTATTCAAAAATATGCTATTTTGTGTTCAAATTCTAGGTTTTGTATTTTATTTTATTTTAAAATACCTGACAAGGGGAGTACACCGATTTTCATAAATATTATATAAATAAAATTGATTTATTTATGCATCAAAGCATTCTCATCTCTGCTATACCTTTTCTCTGCTCTATTCACTTGTCAACCGCCTAATACTCTGAACCATACATTGTAACTGATATCACTACAGTTTTATGGAACTTACCTTTCAATCTCATTGGAAATCTCTTATCGCATAACCACATCAGCCATCCTCAAATCGAATTCAGTGACATCCGTCCCATCTATTTTTTAGTCTTCCTCTACCTCTTCTTCATTTAACATTAATTTCTATAACTGTTTTTACAGCTTCTGCTATTACATTGAAATATATTTAAATAATTAAATTTAGAATAGTTTAGTCACTATTATGGGAAAAGTACTGTTTTAAATTAAAATTTTATAGTAGAATGAAAAACCATCTATCTAAATTGCGTGAACTTATAATAAGCGTCCTATTGTTTTTAACTATTTTTTATTGAAATAGATTTTGGCCAGAGACTTTAAGGATATGTATGTACTCTAGGCTGTCCATAAAAAAACAAAAAAATTATTATTTTTTTTTTAACTAAATATCTTTTTTATGTCACCATTTCAATTATTAGTTATGTAATGCATGAATGGTCTAATAATTGGTTAATATGTATAAATAAATATTTATTAAGTCTTTACTACATTATGATCATCTACTATGGCCATATACAAACAAAAAATTGTCAAAATATCAACTAATGTACATAAATCTTAGTGTGATGTTCTTGACTAACAATGAAATAAAATTTTTAAGACTAGTGTTTAATATTGTAGCAATTTTTTTTTTTTCATACAGAAACAAGTTTATTCAAGAGTTTCAGGCAGTAGTTCCATGATATTTTAATAACAGTAATTATTAAAGTTATCCTTCTTTGTCATTAATTTTGATAATATGTGGTTATTTTAATGTTCCTTTTAATACAATTTTTGGTATAGGGTTCGGCATTGATATGTTTAACTCTGGAATATAAAGAAGTATAGTTTTTTAATATATGACTTTGAACTTCGTACCTATTGGATGTATTGTCAGTGTTCAAGGATAAATCTAAAATCTTAAGTGAACTTTTCCCTAAAAATTCAAGTATTATTTAATATTATTTATTCGTGAAAAACATCAAAAAAATAATTGAATTATTACTAATTTTTTTATCTTTTGAAACATCGATCCTTATGGGTATCCTAGACACAATTTTCTTGTTTATGTTGTTTTCATTTGATGGTGCCATAGAGGTGTCCATATTGTAAACGCCAGCTGATAAATGACCTCTATGTTCTGACTGATCAATAAAAACTTTACTACCTGGGATTTTAACAGGGACCATAGAAACGAATTTCGCTTTATTCAATGGAAGATCGACTTTCGCTGTACCATAAGGCAAAGAAGACTTTGAAGTAACCGAATTTTTAATGTTTTTAACATCTGACTTAGGGACGAATGAATGGGATTTATAATACACTATTATTATTTATAATTACACTAATTTCATAGCGATTTGATCTATTAAAGCCTCTAACTGACTTATAGGCAAAGACTCGTTATTTTTATCATTACCCAAGATCGAATTTTTTTTAGATTCTTCTTCAGTTGCCTTGGAGGAGTCAGTTTTACGAATGGTCCGTATCATTTGAAGTTTCTCACTAAAAGCGTCTGCTAATACAGACAATACAACGTCAGCGTTACAAATTTTTCTATTGCGATGACGCTGTTGTATTTCCTCATATTTTAGATCGAATTCTTCATTGAATGTTTTGGTGAAATTGTTTGGTGCATTAACAGTAGACGTCGTTTGTGTGTTTACGATTATTTCAGGAGTTTCAGCAAATTTTATATTTAAGTTTGTCCAAGTTTCAGTAGCTGGTATAATTTTACCTATAAGCATTTATTAGAAAATCATTAAAAAAAATATTTACCTGTATTTTGATTCTTTAATCTAATTTTGTCGACTTCTGTCAACGTGTTGGTTTTTTTAATGCCAGTGGACATAGAGTTCGTTTTACTGGATGAATCGCTCAGTCTATTTATTAGCACGGCTAACTTGAATGATTTATTTACTTTTAATTACACAAATGTAAATTAATATGAATAACTCGACGTATAGATATTCTAGAATATACTAAAATGAAATATTAAAATGTCCATTATATAATATATAAGAATGTGACAATACCGTAGTTAACATTTAACAGTTCTAACTGTGTTAACACGTATGTCACATAGTGTGTCATACATGTATTATATGTAAATATTTTAAGCGTATTTAAAATAAATATTCTGTCATTTTTCTTTAACATAAAATCAGTGTTTTCATTATATTTTGAAACACTAAAGGGGGTGACCTCGATGAACGAACATTCACAACATACGGGGCCTTTTGGCCAGTGTACATTTACACCATCGACACACGATTTGTACTCGTTCTCATCAACCCGCTATTACACACATACATACATTGATTCTATCCTCTCCTTTCCCCCATCCTAAGACTTAGTCGGAATAAAGGCGAGGAAAAAGAAAAAGCATCCTACTCAGACCAATTCAGACAGATTAAAAAATATACTTAAGTCATTAATCCAACTCATCAACATTAACGCAAAGCATGACTGTCCATTTCGTACAAACAACCGGAGCTCCAGTATCAGCCAAAGTCATAAGGTTATCATAAGAAAAATTACTAATAGCTAAACAGGAATTTTCAAAAATAGTATACTACAATACATCCTTATCAAAACGCACCTACATACCAAGAGACTTTGAAACCTGTACCCGTGTATATCAAAGAATCGATGCTAAAAGACCAAAGCTAACATATATATACAAAAAACTTAAAGCGTTAAAAAGAACACTCAAGACGTTTGATCTTAAAACCAATGGTACTACTAAAACAATATCAATTGATACTGTTACGTAGTGTTGTAGTGTATGAAATAAGCTAAAATCCTTGTAATGGATAAGCAATACAAAATGCATATACGCACGAAGGTTCTAGATAATTTCACAATTACTACATAACTCCCCTCTCAGTACATGGAGATTTTAAAATACATGATTTTATGTGATATAATTGCTAGTTACAATTATGTCACCATGTAAATGTTTAGGAAAATGTCCTTTTTGCCCCAATCAAACATTCTAAAATGAAATTTTTAGAATGTTTGATACATGATATAGTATATAGTGGCGCGATAACACCACAGTTAATAAGTAACATTTAACAGTTATAGTAGTAATAACACAGTGCATTATATGTATCATGATACAAATTTAACATGCTACAAAGCCCGGTGGACCCTCTTTTACATGTTCGAGAGTCAAAGATGGTTCTTGACTAGGTCAATGATGGACGGGACGAGTATTATGGACAGCTTGCACCAGAGACCAAACACCATCAATGAGAAAATCACAAAAAAAATCTCGATGGCACCCTGGGGATCGAACTCGAGACCCGTACGCCGAAACATACGTTCTTACCCTCAAACCAGGCCAACCCCATGTAAATACATTAAGTGTATATAAAATAAATAATCTGTCATATTTCGTCAACATAAAATCTGTGTTTTTATTATATTTCATTAATAATCGAAACACTAAAGACGTAATGATACTGTGTGCCTCAATTTGTAAGTGTATAATATAACTCATTATTTTGTCTTGTCATATTACCTTTAAAATATCCATACTGAAATTGGTCTCAAAATGTCGAATAAAAATTTACAGAAATAAATAAATAATACTAAAAAATAATTATTTGTGAGTTAGTTAATGAGGAAATTACGAAAAAAACCATTACAAAATGCATCGTGAGTTATACGCGTTCAAATAATTATGGTGAAACTATGCAAAGTAAATATTTATTTTCACTATATATCACTAGGCATATTTATAATTAAAAAAACAGCTGTTTAAAAGTCATTTGTTAGTACAAAAATATTTAAAAGTTAAAGACGTGTTAACGTTGGGGTAAGTTTTAAATTGTTTAAAATGTACAAAAAATAAAATTATTCTGTTGGACATAAATATGTGTAATTGTTGGGTAGTGTAGATAGGGAGTGTCGTAGAGTAGGCGTTTTGGTATATTATTCTAGTAACTAGGGGTCGGTAATTCAATTCTGGCCTCTGCAAGATAAAAAATAGGCCTATCAAAAATTAATATTTGATTTACTTAACGGATTTAGGATAATACCAATTTTCAAAAAGCTGACCCAAGACAAATGGTTTTTTTTTTCATTTAAGGACATTCTCAGAAAGACGTCCCAACGATCCGAGTACCTCATAGTTACTCAAACCGCCTTGGATGAGACATCTTCTACCCCGTGGAAGCCAATTGGAAGAGGGAGGCAGGCCGAGGCTACTCATCATTAAATAGCCTAGACCTGAAAAGCAGGAATGTGGAAAGACGCGAAAGGAATTTGGCTCAAAAATTCCTAACTAGAATCTATTTAGTGAAATACTAGACGTCGCCAGAGACATTGACACATCTGTAATAACTGAAATGGGTAAGTAAAATATTTTTAATATCGAGTACGTAAAATATAGTTTATAATATGTTACTATATGCTACTGACCATATTCAATAGACAAACTGAAGTTTATTACATGCAAAACTGAAGTTCTATCAATATATGATCTCAGTTCCGTTATTAAATATTCTTTTATTTATATGAGAATATCAAATAGGGTTTTTTTTTTATTTTTCAAATGTTTTTATAAATGGCGCAATGATATAAGTCAGTACTGTAAACAGAGGCATACTTTTGCTGCTCGGGATAAATATTCCCATTAATTTATGTCCATTTACTGTAACAGAAGAGACTTCTGTTACAATAAAACATAACCTTTAAATTAACTCTTAGACATAATTATAATTTTTACTATTTTTATTTAGATATCCATATTTAAAATATTATATTAAGTAAGTTTACTAACCATGAAGTTGAAGAGGTACCAATGATATTTAAAAGGAAGAACCTAGAAGGTGGTAATTAAATTAATTTCGCTGGTATACCAGACACATTGTTAATTTATTAATCGGCTCTTGAATCAATGCTCAAAACGTCTCTCTAAGAATGGAAAAGTTATATGTTGGAAATTACAAGTATATATGTAAAGATATAAAATGATGTATACTCAAAAACCATTCAATATTTATAAGGGTAGCATATTTTCTTTTAATTTCAATGTGTTTATGTAAAAGTTATAATATATTGTATGGAAAAAGTGAACAAAACGACATAATAAACTCTTAAGAAGTTTAAATGCCACAACTCAGCCAGATAAATATTCTTACGCGCTTGAGGTACAAGGTTCCAACCCTTGTATGGCAAGGAATTTTTTTCTTAATTATTTTTAAGTTAGAATAAATTTTTAACTCATTTGATTTTTATCAAATTTCAAGAAGAAATTTCTTATTCATATTAAAATTATTTTACTATATTTTAAGCTTTAGCTTCGATGCAAAGCTGAGAAGGTATATTTTTGTGACTATCATTTCATTTCTCTGCTTTAACTTGACCTACTTTTTTCAACGATACGTCAAATGATTGCAATTCGTATCTTGTTAAAGATGTTATCCTCAAAAATTGAAAAAAAATTCTAATTTATCAATTAAACAGTTACTTATCCCATGTTCTCCATACAGACAATCAAAATCATTCATTTCTAATGTTTTCAAAGTATTTATTGACGAACCAAGTTTGTACAATAGGTTTCAACAACAAAACTAAATTATTTTACTTTGTAATTTAATTATTTTTTTACTGTATTTGTGTGTGCTACTACTAGACTATAATATTCCAAACTTTTTAATAACATGTTGCTATATAAATCATTTAAAAAAAAAATGATTGTTAGTTTCTCCTGAATTAACAATGGATTTTTGCAATTATAATCAAATTTTATAATATGCTCAATTGAGTAAATCTTTTTAACAACATTGTTTTGATTGGTTCTTTTAGTTAAAGTAAATCATTAAAATTTAAGTTCTGAATATTTTAATTGTAGAATATTTTTAAACACCTAAAGTTACTATGAAATGATTACTATTATTTCTATTTAAGTTATGTATTACGATAAAAATGTAAACAAATATTGAGCTTTGCTGATAAATTTCCTATAAATAGTAATTATAAAATTTCCTAACTGCATATTAATCTTAACGATACAATTTTTTTATTTTTCATAAAATTTCCTATTTAATGATGTCAATTTCAAACTTGTAAATTGACCTAAAAGTTATGGTAATAAATTATTACTTTTTTTTATTATAAACTTTCACAAAAATCAACTGTAAAAGATTAAAAAAATAGATTAAATGTGTCATTTTCTTTATGTTTAACATATTAATAATTAAAATCAGTTTTAATTTAAAACAAGTTTTTTTTGTTCTTAATTATTTTTTTATATGTAAATACTTATTTTTTAATAATAAGTAATAATATTAAAATTTAGAAGTGATAGAAAAAGTCTAATTGCACATTTGAAAACATCGTAAAAATTTGATTTAGAAAAGCATCATCTTGTTGTATGCACCGTATCTAAAAATATCGATGCATTTTTTTTTTTAGAAAAAGGGGAGAAATGATAATGGACCTCTTAAATTTTTGTTCAAATTATGCAAAGGTATTCCTCTACTGCATACAAAAATAAAATAAGGTATAAAACTACTTATTGTTATAAGGTAAAAACGTTTTCTACAGTATTAATAATAAATATGATTAATAACTGGTCAAAAGAATATTTATAGTTTTTGAAATTAAATGATGAAATTTTTTTACTTGCAAAAATGAAACAGAATCTTACAAATACAAACATTTTGTAAAAGATTAAACTATCCAATAATATTTACTTTGCACTTAATATTCATAAATAAATAAGTTATATAAATAATACATTATAGAATCCAGTGGCGGCTCGTGGCTTGGACGACGGGACGATCGCTCCCTCTACAAAAATTTATTACAAGAAGAAAATTATTTGCATATTCTTAATTCTAAAATTTTATTAAAAATCCAAATTTTTAAATAGTAAAATAGTTATAATACATTTTTTGTGTGCAGCGTCGTCCGAGCAATATCCTGAAACGTAAACTATTAGTGAGGTGTTGTAATCGTGTGCGTGTGAGTTGTATTCAGCTGCGAACTTATGTACAGGTTTTGGACGACTGGCAGCGTCGTCCTTAGGGTCTAGGACATTTCGCCGCCACCGATTCGCCGCCGCCGTTTCGCCGCCACCGTTAGTCCTTACAATAAAACCACAGACTATATGAAAACAGATAGTTCACTTGGCCCGATAACAAAACGGTTTTTTGATTGGAGAAGTGAAATCAGTGCAACCATATGTATGAGCGCAAAAATTCTTTTAATTTATTTCATTATTAAATCTGCTGTAGCATAAATATTATGAAATTCCGTATATAAACATAATTATTGACATAAATTATTTGAATACATCATTAAATTAAGGTATTAAACCCATAATCCCTTATTTATGACTCAAAATCCCTAAATTAGTCATGAAAATTAAATAATTATCAGTTTTTATAATGTAAATTATTAACTACTTAAATTTGACTTGACTTGAGCAGTAACAATTATTATTGTTAATGTTGTCAATGATCACATGTATCTTATTTCGTGTTATATTTGGTGCTTTCTTTCAAAATATCTCACTACCTCACCAGTATGCGATGCTCAGTAAAGTTTTGTCCAAGTACATATTCCTTCAAGGATAAAAGCTTTTTTTCTTATCCTAAAGAAAATGATCGTTTGAAACTATGGATGAATAATTGTCAAACTAATCATTTGGCAGAGACTTTATCCAAAAAAAAATAATCTAGTAGTTTGCGCGGATCATTTTGACGATAAAATGTTTTTGAAAAAGACTACAAAAAATCGGCTGGTCATGATGCAGTACCTACAATATTTAGTGGTCAGTATTTATTATCTTCAATGCAAAGCTGAGAAGGTATTAATTTTACTATGATGTGTGTTTCTTTAATTTATTTATTTTTTGTGTGTCTGTTACCTTGTTTTTTTCAGCTCTCACCGAACCGATTTCTTTCAATGATACGTCAAAAGATCACAAATCGTATCTAGTCGAAGACATTATCCTCAAAAATTGAAGAATTTTCCTTCATTCCTCATAAGTGGGAGATATCTCCAAAATAATTACAATTTTAAAAATCAGTAATTTTTGACATTTTTTTCTTAACACTACCATAACTTTTTCAAAAATGAAAATTTTATATAGATATTTGATGTCTTTACCTATTATTTGGTATATTTTTTTTATAAATTTAACCCTTTATCAGCCCACAGTGGGGAATTCAAAATGACAACTTTTTCACAAAAAATTAACTTTTTCAACTTAACTTTTGAAAGTGTTCCGGAAATACTGACGCTTTTATATATATATTAAATTAAAGCTAATGTAATGTCCTTTATTATGAAAAAAAAAATTTGACCTCTGGACTTGTCTTCACGGAGAAAATGGCTATCGAATACTATTTTCGTGTGAAAATTCTCGATTTTATTTTTTATATTATATTTAACTTTATAATGCTATAACTTTTTCAACTTAACTTTTGAAAGTGTTCCGGAAATACTGACGCTTTTATATATATATTAAATTAAAGCTAATGTAATATACTTTATTTTGGGGAAAAAAAATTTCGGACTTTATTTTGTCTTCACGGTGAAAATGGCTACAATTTGGCCAAAAATGGCTAACAATAATAATAATAATAAAAATATAAAATTTATTATATAATTTATATTATTATTCATTATATCTAAAATAATTCAAATTTTATAAAAAATATAATACTATTAACAGTTTAACCAAAAATTACAGCTTCATATATTATAGGTAAAACTAACTAAACGTTGACAAAAAATTTATGAAATAATAAACTACACAAAATGTCAACTTTTATACAAATTAAACACAATATTCATAATGTCAGACAATATTAAAAAAAAAAACATTTTTATTAAGACTAAATGTTATTTAAACAAAATAAGTATGCGAACAGTTATAATCGTTATTATCGTTCAAGTATTTAAAATGCAATAGTGTCATTAATTCCAATATCATTGATAATTTTTGTAACTGATAGAGGAATTGTACAATATTATTGTAAAATATTTGCACAATAATATGAAATTGTACAACAGTCTCTACTGCTTTGTCTTCTGCCCAATCAGATAGCTTGATTTTTTTTCTATTGTTCTCGGCTAAGTGAACTATCTGTTTTCATATAGTCTGTGCTTTAAGGGTAATTTATTTTTAGAATTAACTGCGTGTACGCTCGTTGTTATCGGTTGCTATAATATTATAATCGCTATTATTATTATTTTCATTTCTATTTTCTACCACGACCTTCAAAATAATAATATGTGTATTGATTTTATTTTATTAAATTAAATAGGAAAATTCTTTATACCTATGACTAGCGGTATTATATTTAAAATCTCATGCTCACCACCAGCATCCACCACTGATAGAATCAACCTTAACTATTAAATTATATAACAATAACAGAAGAACGGTTCATTGGATAAAATATTATTTGTTTTTCATTTCATTTCTTACATTAGGATTTTTTCATTAACAAAAACAATCTATACAAAATAAATGTACAATAAGTTTTGACATATAATATGCCAAAAACTTATAATAATATGTCGCATATAACATTGCATAGTAATGTAAGTAAGTAAACTACTTTTACATTCTATTTTATAGAATTTATTCTTTCGTAAATTTGAATTTATGATATATACGCTATATACATACATTAAACTAAATTAAATCTGGAAAAGTTCAATGTCCTTATATACACTTCTCGAAAATAGAATAACAACTACATTTAGCTTATGAAATGTTAACTTGTCAATTTCAAATAAAGATTTTATTTTTTTATCAGCTAACATTTTGTATCATTTACCGGTGCGTTGTGATTTCGAAAATCAGGGGATACTTGCTATATGAAGGCGTTATTTTATGTTTTACACGGCGAGATTTTAAAACGTGGTATTGGATTTAACATTAGATTGAAGTTCCGGGATATCGAAGAACATTAACAAGGTATAAATATTTTAAAGCTTTCATCGATTGGTGTTTTATTTAGAATATTTACAGATACATCAATATCATCAATTTTATGCAAACATTACGAGTTCGTTGCAAATGTCATCTTGTAGATGTCCATGTAAAAATAGCTGTCCCCTTAAATTTCACGATTAAATGATTTTAAGTTGTTAATCAATTCGGATTGCTTGAAAAAAATGTACATATCCTGGAACTTTGTTACCCTTAAATCTTTTATAGTATCCTCATATTTCTCTTATTCTTATTTATAATTAAATTTTTTTTTATTATGTTTGACATTTTTTCACCAAGTAATTAAACTTTTGAATTTGGGAGACAAGGAATCTGTACAGCTCGAAATCAATTAGGTTTTGGTTTAAAATCAAACCTGTGCATCAAGACTTGACACATTCTCTACCGAATTATATGATCTATATTTCTTAAGCATCGTTTTTTAGAAAAATTTTTTTTGAGGATACTAATTTTTCTATTGAAAAAGCAATTTTTAAGGTAATTTAATGCAACAATATCAGAGTCCCCTGATTATTAATCAGTGTAACCTATTGAACAATTCATTTATGCCATCTTTACATTTTATTAAATAAATATTTTGTTTGTAACACTGTTATCAGGAATGTATACGCTCCGCCTTTTCACGCGGCGCTCAGACACTGGAAAATGTTTCTTTCTCGTTATTGCTTTTCTTAAACCTACTAATTGGATTTTATATTGTTATTAATTAAAATATTGAACGGATCTTTGGTTTAAATGTAAGTTATAAAACTTATTATACATTAAATTATATAATATTTATATTTTCATTTTTGTATTGATTAAAAAACGTAACTTTTATTGCAATATTTCACAATCTATCTAGGCAATTATGTGTATAAAATTTAATTTAATCACAAGTATTTTTATAAATCATTTTTTTAATTTAAAATTAACGCGTCTAATATTTCAAATTTATATTTTATTACAAATAAAATCCGTATACTAAATGTAAAAATAAATACAAAAATAGTGATGCATGTTTTTCAGAGGCACAAAATATTTTTAGGTTATGTTATATTGATACGTCTTATGGTGGTGATTCCATCAATTTTTTTTCAAATTTATTTAACAAATATATATAGTATTTATTGACTAAATATGTTTTCAAAGTTTAATATTTCGCAGAATTTATAGGTCCATAAGAAATAAATATGTAGTAATTTGAGAAATTATAGAATTATATTAATTATAAAGTCAAATTGTTATTATTCCTTATTATTTATACTTATAATCTTATAAGTTCTTAAAAAGTTTTATGATACATTTATGTTTTTTAATACATAATTTTTTTAAAGAAAAATGTCTGGAGGATTAGATGTGTTAGGGCTGAAAGAAGATGATGTTACCAAGATGTTAGCAGCTACCACCCATTTGGGTTCTGACAATGTTAACTTCCAAATGGAACAGTATGTTTACAAAAGGAATAGCAGAGGTATTTATCCACTCTATTGTAGTAGTTAAGTCTTTCATTGTTATTAATTTTTGTATTAACTGCTCAAGGCTTAAACATTTTCAACTTAAATAAGACCTGGGAAAAATTATTGTTGGCTGCAAGAGCAATTGTTGCAGTTGAACATCCATCTGAAATTTTCGTTATTTCCTCTAGGCCTTATGGACAGAGAGCAGTTTTGAAGTTTGCAGCATATACTGGAGCAACACCCATTGCTGGTCGTTTTACTCCAGGAGCTTTTACTAATCAAATTCAAGTAATTTTTTCTTTAACTATATATTTATTAGCTAATTGTTTGATATGATTATACTTGTACGTCCCAGTCAATCTGACATTTAATGACAGATATTGTACTCATGATCAAACTTCATATTTAACATTAATTAAATTAATTATATTCTAAAAATGTATGTTGGTTTATATTCTAGGCTTTTTGAAATGATTTTACTAGTACGTCCCAGTCAATCTGATATTTATTGAATGACAATGTACTGATGATCTAAATTATTTAAACTAAGGCCAATTATTTTGCTATTGTTTTATAGATATTTGAAATGGTCATTGGTAGTATGTCCTAGCTTAACTGAAGATTATTGAATGATCTTATACTACTATGATCATAGTTTTTAATGTTAATGTTACCATGCTAAATTTATCGTTTGAAATGATTTGTTTTGTACGTCCCAGTCAATCTGAAACTAACTGATAGACTAAGTACATATGATCACTTTAATTAAAAAATATATAGTAAAATTTGGGATGGCAATATTTATTATATATACTGAGTAGAAGTTAGTATTTGATCAGTGCCACATTGTTGCTTATAAAGTTTATAAGTGGAGTTTTACATGCATTCAAGACAATGTTTTGAGTAAAAAAAAATGTATATTGCTACATAATAGTAACAACATATCTCTTAAAGTACAATCTTACAGGAGAACTATTAAAGAAATATGATATATAAAATATGACAACAGCTATCTTTTTTTTTTAAATTTGTAAGATTACCAATTTATGTATAATATAGTTGTCTTAAAAAAAGTATGTACATGGTGATTCTGTTTATTTTAATACCTTATCAAATATAAACTGAAAATTTGCTGATTTATGTTGTAATTAGAGTAATGATATGTAGTATATTAAGTTTATATCAATGTTACAACAGACTTGAAATAGTACTTAATTAATACAGTCTTTGAAATGGTGTATCCTACTAAAACTTGTTTGAATCTGTTGATAACTTTTGATTTCCTATTATTTTAATATCTTCTAAATTTTTGCATACCTTCAGTCCAAATACCCTTCTTCAGATTGAAATTGTTTTGGGTGTAGTTAAGTTTTATGGCTAGAGAATTTTAAATATTTATATCTGTTAATAAATAAAAAATGTATGATATGTTTTTATAGTGAAAAAATTTACTTTTTTAGGCTGCTTTTCGTGAACCTCGATTATTGGTTGTTACTGATCCAGCTACTGACCATCAACCAATTACTGAAGCTTCTTATGTCAACATCCCTGTAATTGCCTTATGTAATGCTGACACTCCATTAAGATATGTTGATATTGCTATTCCATGCAACAATAAAGTAATGTTTGATTATTTTATTATTTATCTATAAATATTATGTGTGTTACTATTTTGATTGATTAGGAAAAATCTATTGTAGTTATGATTAATCATAAGTCATTTTAAATATATCATTAATCCATTAATGTATTTAGATAGATCAGAAAATACAGGAAACCTTTTTTTTGAACCCTTAATGGGGTTACTGTTAAATATATCTTGTATTGTAAATATGAAACAATAAATATTTTTTTATTTTACTATTAGAAATAGGACCATATGATTATCATCAGTGATTTACTAGAAAAGTTAAAAATAATTATTTTTAAATTATATGACAGATTTGTGTTGTTCTTCTATTTCTAGTTAATTAATAACTTATTATTTTCAATTCTTATTTATTATACAAACAAATTTGAACATTTTATTTTAATTAAAGTTATAGCTTTGGTAAGCTCTAAAGTTAAATTTCCTAGAATGAGGAATATTTCTTTGTTACATTATATAGTTATAGAAAATTTACATTGATTTGTGTGTAACAAGTTACTTTTTTGTTAATGCATTCAGATATTTACTCTATTTAATGCTAATAACTTTACTAAGTTACTAATAACTTGATTTTCTAATTTTTTGTTATTTATTTTAGAATATGTCTATTTTAAAACAAAAAATAGCTAAATATGTCATAAAATTTTAATTAACCACAATCAATATAATATTTATATGTCTCTTAAAATGTTTTTAATAAAATATAAAATTATTTTAAATATTACAGTCTCCTCATTCAATTGGATTAATGTGGTGGTTCTTGGCTCGTGAAGTTCTTCGGCTTCGAGGTACAATTCCACGTGATGGTAAATGGGACATTGTTGTAGACTTGTTCTTCTACAGAGATCCAGAAGATGTAAGTACAGTTATTTAAATATTTTGTTTATGAGGTATAATTATATTTTACATTCTATTATTATTGAGTAACTATTCATTTAGTCTTACGGAAGAGTATTAATCTTAATTTTGATAATATGAAAATAAAATAAATGGTGTGATCTTAGAAAATAATTAAACATTTTATAATATTTTTTAAAAAAAATTTTTTAAATTTATTTGGAGTGTTCAACGATTTTACTATTTAATTTTACTTCTTAGTAATATAAACATAATGAAGAAACTATGTATATTGCTTGAAGTGCTTGAGGATATATCCATGAAAACTTTAACACATTCATAACTATGTATATTTTAACATATAATACGAAGAAACAAAAATGAAAAAAAATATATATATATTGACACATGAATTAAGTTACATGGATTTCATAACTACAATACATTAGAATTATTATTATATTAACAAAATTAATTTATAAGAAAATGAGGTTTTTCGTATAAATATTAAGTTTTTTATATAAAAATGTCACTGTCTTGTATTTACTTAATTTTTTAGAATGATTAGTTTTCCTGTTAGCAATGAAATAAAAAAACTAAATGTATGTTAATTCCCCCAACATGGTACCTTTAACTTTTGATTAAAAAGAAAAAATGTAAAGCTAAATTATGTTACCGATTTTTCTTTCTAAATGTAATAGAAATTATAAGATATATCAAACTTTTTCGAAATTTAATTTCTTTAAATTTATTTCAAGGTGGAGAAAGAAGAAGCTGCTGCCAAAGAAGCTTTGCCTGCTGCATCAACCGTTAAACCAATTGTCGGTGTTGATGATTATGCTTTAGCTGGCACAGCTGCTGATTGGAATGAAGCAACAGCAGCTACTGCTGCTCCAAATTGGGCTGAAGATGGAAGTGGTGTACAGTTAGTTGCCACTCCAGCAGCACCTGCTGCAACTTTAGATTGGACGGTTAGTATATAACTTAATTTTTTATAAAGTAATAATAGAAGTTTTAATAATAATAAATTTTAATTTTTTAGACAGAAGAATGGAACACTGCACCAGCTGGTGCAGCCGGTTCCAATTGGGGTGGTGGTTCAGCACCAAATTGGTCAAATATGTAATAATTTTTTTATTAAAAAAGATTTAATAAATAAATTCTTTTTGAAATAACATCTTTTATTTTATGAATATGATAATTATCAAGCTTATAAATTTCAGAGTTAGTACTAAAATAACCAATAGTAGGTTAGTATTGACTACACCTATACATTACTTTATCCTAAACAGGATGAAAGCATTATAATAATAAAAAATTTTGGATTTAGTTCCATACATTCTGATAGATAAATAGTCAATTATTATTGACATTTTTAAAAATATGTATGGGTATGAAAGTTTAGTCATTTAGAAAATAATATTGTATATAAAATTATTTAGTACTTCAAGGATAAGTGGTTTCGTGTCTAAACAATTCTTCTTATTACTATCATACAAAATTTAATATATTTATAATGGGCAACAGAAACCAATCTAAGGCATCCCATGTATTATATTAGAAAAACCGGGATTCTCTTAACAAATTTATATTTAAACAAAAAAATTCATAGAATGTTTATTTCTAAGTTATAATATTTTTATAATGTTTATTAATTATGATAGATTCTTATGGATGAGTTTTGCTTAAGATATATTTGTATGTTTTTTAAATAATTTAAGTACCTAATTTATTCATATTTGAATAAATTAGGTATTGCCCTTATTAAAATTTCTAACAAGTTTTAATGAAAACTTTTTAAAAATTGTTTTTAGCTTCGATGCGAAACTGAGAAGGTATTGGTTTTACTATGTGTTTTTTTTTTGTGACTGTTACCACTTTTTCTCAGCTCTCACCGAACGGATTTCTTTCAACGATACGTCAAAAGATCACAAATCGTATCTAGTCGAAGACATTACCCTTCAAAATTGAAAAAATTTCCCTCGTTCCCCGTAAATGTGGGAAACCTCCAAAAAAATTACAAATTTAAAAATCGCTAATTTTCGAAATTTTTTCAATTTTTTTTACTAAAAACTG